CCCTTGCACATTTAAAACACAGAGTGCCCTTCGCACACATTTGTCCAGATACCATTCAGATGAAGAAAGTCTACGGTCAGGAAACATCTCTGCTTTTAAGTGTTTAGTTTGCAATGCTTGTTGTTCTATAGAGAAGGACTACTTTCAGCATATTGGAAATCATCTGAAGAGCAACGAAACTGTCTTTTGTGTATTTGAAGGATGCAACTTTCAGACAAATATATACAATACATTTCTAAAACACAAAAGCAGAAGACACAAATCCTATTCTTTGAGTGATTTTAAGAAAGACGTGTATGAGAGTCGCCATAATCAGACTGTTGACCATTCTGATTTACCAGAGGCCAGTGATGGTGAGGGCACTAGTTTAGATTGTGATCAGGAAAGTGCATCATACTTAGTTCTTCAAAGAATTGGCTTACTTCTGCTGAAGCTAGAAACAATCTATAATGCCTCAGTGAAGTGCATTGATGCCTTGGTTGAAGACCTTCAGTTCATTTCATCTTCAGTATCAGTTGCAGTTGTTAGAAACATACTAGATTCAACATTGAAGGTGAATAAATGCATTATTGACCAGGCCATCGTAACTGAATTGTCAGAGCAGTTGTGCAACTTCCATCCCATTAGTACAGCACTTGGAGCAGCAGGTGGTCCACTTGGTTCGGCTTTTAAGAGAAGAAAGTATTTTAAGGTGCATTTCCAGTGTGTTGATAGCATTGAATATATTATTGATACTGAAAAGAACAAGACCTTTCAATATGTGCCTATTCTCCAGACTTTGCAGGAAGTCTTGAAGAATAAAGACATTGCAGAAATAATTTTATCCAGAAAATCAAATAGTACTGGATATATTAAGTCAATTTTTGATGGAAAATCCTTCAAGCAAAATGTATTTTATGCTGGGGAAGAAACAAGACTGTCTATAATCCTTTACGTTGACGACTTTGAGGTGTGTAACCCACTAGGAACTTCGAGAAAAAAACACAAAATAACAGCTGTTTATTGGGTTTTGGCAAATGTTCCAACAAAGTTGCAATCTGCATTAACGTCAATACACCTAGCTTTACTTTGCAAAGCTGTTGATGTCAAACAGTTTGAATACAGAGCAGTTTTGGAACCACTCTTGAAGGATCTTGTCATTCTAGAACAGGAAGGGATTTTCATTTCCAGTGTTGGAAAAAACATTAAAGGGACAGTACATTGTGTTGTAGCTGACAATCTCGGTGCACATTCTATCAGTGGACTAGTTGAAAGTTTCACGGGGCCGTACATCTGTAGATTTTGTCTTGGACATTCTTCAGAGTACCAGACACACGAAGTGCGGACCGGAGTGTTTCCACCTCGGACAAAGAAGGAACATAGTTTGCATGTGCAAACTGTGAGAGAAAATCCAAATGTTACTCATTGCTTTGGCGTAAAGCGGTCGTGTCCATTGACTGATAAATTAAATCACTTTCATTTTGAGTCTGGGTACCCACCAGATGTACTACATGACCTTTTGGAAGGCATAGTCCCAAGGGAACTAGCATTGTGTTTTCAGATTTTTACCAAGAAGAAGTACTTCAGTTTGACTGAGCTTAACGAGTTAATCACACGTTTCCCATATAAGGGCTCGGACAAAGCCAACAGCCCTCAAGCAATCCCTCAAAACTACATTCATCGCAGAACTATAGGTGGAAATGCCCATGAAAATTGGGCTCTAATACGGTTGTTGCCACTCATTGTTGGTTCACGAGTACCTGAGGGTGATTCTACCTGGCAGGTTCTTCTCATTTTAAAAGACATAGTTGAATTGGCGGTTGCCCCTGTTCACACAGTAGAAACGATTGCGTTCCTTGACTTTAAAATATCTGAACATCGTGAAAGATTCTTATCAGTTTTTCCTAAAGAGAGACTGACACCCAAACACCATTTTTTGGAACACTACCCAGCATTGATTGAAGAATATGGGCCTCTGGTTGGTGTATGGACAATGCGGTTTGAAGCTAAACACAGCTTCTTTAAGCAAGTTGTGAGGCACACTAACAATTTCAGAAATGTGTTGTTGACCCTTTCTACAAGACATCAGATGTGGATGGCATACCACATGCATACAGATGTCGGAAAACAGGCATTGTGTGTCACAAAAATCTCTGTAGTGCCTTTAGATGTGCTGCATTCAGACATCCAGGAAGCTTTAAGAGAAACGTCACTGCTTCTGTCTACTGTGCAGTTAGCTAACACCATCACCTACTATGGAACAAGATACACTGTGGGAATGATCTTGTCCTATGGCTCTACTGGTGGACTACCCGACTTTGCTGAGATTATTCAGATGGCCATTTTGGACAACTGTGTACATTTCTCTTCTTGGTTCTTTCGGTAAAGTCACGTAGAAGGGAAGTAATAAAATAATACAAATAAAACATAATAAAACAATTCTCACGACGTTTCGGCCACAACGCAAGCAGCCGTCCTCAGGTGAAAACCAGGTCCGTCGAGGCGACAGAGTCTGAATGAAACAGCACACGGGCTTAGAGCATATATATAAGCTGGGCGCATTGACAAAGGAATTTGCATATCAACAGGAATTTAGCATATTTATGGGAAATGCAGGAATGTAATTAGTACTGCATATGCATGTGCATTATGCAGGATTAACAGCATCAAAGGGAGCTGCAGTTACTGCTGCTGCAGAAGTTGCTGCTGCTGCTGCAGTTTCTGCTGCTGCTGCAGTTTCTGCTGCTGCTGCAGTTGCTGCTGCTGCTGCACTTGCTGCTGCTGCTGCACTTGCTGCTGCTGCTGCTGCACTTGCTGCTGCTGCAGTTGCTGCCTTATCCATTTTAATATAACACTATGTATTATTCTACCCACCCTAATGAGTATCATACTGCTATATGTTTACTGTACAATTACGACACCATACATTACTCTGCACACTGCACCATGCCAGTGAGTGGAACGCGGTCTGAAAGTCACCGTTAACGTGAACACAATCAGTTAAGATCCGAAATGGTTTATTACGTCCTTCCAATGATTGCTAAGCCAGAATCCATCTTCTCGGTTGAAATTGTCTCTGTGTTTGTATATGTGGATCGCCTCATGAACGAATCTCTCATGATAGCCAGATGGCTTGCAGAGAACCTCTGTCTTGGAGAAGTCAATGTCATGTGAGCCCACTGAATTGTAACAGTGATCTGCCACGGCTGAGGTGTTTGTCCTACCGTGTTTCAGGTCTGCCTTATGTTCACGGATGCGGTCCGAGATATGTCGTTTGGTTTCTCCAATGTAACTGCTACCACAGAGGCAACTTAGTTTGTAGACGCCAGGGTACTGTATGTCTGGAACCCCATCTTTTACAGACGGGACCAGATCACGGATTTTATGTACTCTGTCGCCTCGACGGACCTGGTTTTCACCTGAGGACGGCTGCTTGCGTTGTGGCCGAAACGTCGTGAGAATTGTTTTATTATGTTTTATTTTTATTATTTTATTACTTCCCTTCTACGTGACTTTACCGAAATAACCAAGAAGATGAATCCCTGCAGTCACGAAAGCTTTAAATCGAAATTTGTGTACATTTCATTGTAAAGTTACTTGCTGCCTGGTATGAAGAGCATTTAAGATCTTTTCAACTGGAGGACACTGGGAAAATAGTTCTTTTGGAGCAGCAGACACTTGGTGATGTGTACCCCTTGGCTGCGTACAATGTGGGAGGAAAACGCTTGGTTACACTCAAACGTCACATCTGTTGTTAATTTGAGGTAATTTAAATCAATTATGTTAACCTTTACATATAAACAATGTCTGTATTGTTGCCGTGTATCTGGAAATATAACAGTGGTGTCCTTTTTTTCATGACTAGCTATTCCAATGGAAAATCGATGTATTGCTGGAAACACATGTATTCTGAAATTGAATATGAAATGCAGACAAATTACAATTAACATTCTCTGATTTTATAAATTCTTAAGTTTTTTTACTCTTAATTGTTCTGGTGGCACACTCCAGGCTCTTCATTACATATTCACTGTATGTCTGGTTTGATCTATAAGCTTCTGATGCTATTTTTGTCTATTCTTATTCTTGTCAGGCTGGCAGAAATGGAGGCAAAGCTCAGAGTAATCATTGATGACCGAATTCAGAAGTTGGTCCTTCCATCAGGAATCCCACCCACTGTGGAGGAGCTGCAAACTGTTGTGAAGGAGACCTTTGGAGTTTCTGATGAGTTCAGTCTTCAGTATTTGGACTCAGAATTTGAAGATTACTTTTCGCTTAATACAAGTGACCAAATTAAACACAAAGACACCATAAAGGTTGTTTACGCTGCCCCAATTCTTCTTAACTTGGTTAATACAAGTTTTGGCAGTTCCTTTGGTCAACAGTCAACTGACTGTGAGTCAGCATCTTATGTAGAGTCAACTGCATCAAATGCAGAGTCACGTACTGGAACGTCTTCTTCACAGGACACCATTAACCTGTCCAGGCGAAGTACCACAGAACGATGTCAGCCATGGCCAAAGCAGTTCTCCATTCCACTGTTTGCGTACGAAACTGAGATGTACCTTGAAAGAGTCTCTGAAGACTACAAGAAGAATGGAACACTTCTGACTGCCTCAAAGGTCAAAGCAGACATACTTGAGAAGCTGTCTGAAACCATATATGCATATACAGCCTATCCATCAAGTGCACAGATAAGTGATGTTGCTCAGGCACTTGTCGAGAAATATCCTTTTCTCAAGGAACCCGGCTCTTTCTCAGGTTACTATGGCTGGCAACAAAGCATCAAGTACAAGATGGCAAATTATCGCACAAAACTCCGAAGTTACGGTATTCCTGAGGTGATATGCAATTCACTGAAGCACAAGAGCCCTGCAGATCAGAAGTCTGCAAAGAGTGTAAAAAAGCATAGAAAGGCAGAAGTAAACTACCTCCCCCCTTACCCGGCAGGAGAGGATGAAGAGAGTCAAGAACAAGAGAGGATTCAGTTGCTTACTGAAGTAAAGAAAAGGGACAACAACCAAGTGATAAAAGAAAAAATGTCCAAAACATTTGCACACAGAATAAACGAAATCGTCAATCGAATGCCCAGCATAGATGACATCAAAGCCAGATGGCCAGCTCTATTTGAAGCATCTCACGTGAGTTACAAGTGCACGCTAATTAGAAATATTTCTAGTCAATATTTAAGGCTTTATAGCTGATTTTCTTATTTGTTTTCAGATCCAGGATGAGTTTCAGAGAATCACAACGGTACACCTTGAATCGAAATTCATGTCCAAGCTGGATGAATACACACCCAGGCTTCTGAGCCTCTTCCACTCCAAGGGCGGAACCATGGGGATGAAGTTGCAGGCTATCCTACTCAAGGTATCTTCATTGAGTATTATGTTTGCTAATATTTTATTTTTAGGGATTTTGTGATCAAACTGCTCTAATATCATTAGCTTATTAATTAAATCTACAGGTAATGTTAGCCTGTGATTCTCTCTACAAAAGAGTATGAAATAATTGCATACCTTTTTTGTGCTGTCTCAGGGACCGGTTTAATGAAAAACTTCCTGTCATTACTGAGGTTTTCCAGGGAACCAGCTGTGACTCCGTGAAGTCATTGGTCCCAGCCAAGAAATAGTGCATAGCACATAATCTCCCATAAAACCACTACATTTTACACCTTGCTTTTTGTATGGATTAAACAAACATAGACATAACATGTTAATCAGTGAGCCTTAGATGTGCTGGTAATCAAATCTTCTTACCTTTGGAGCAGACGAGCTATTTTTTCCCTGTTTCCAGTTTTCATTATAAGCTGTGTTGCTGGTTTTAGCTTCATATTCATAGTTTCTTTTTGTCATTTCAGGCTCCAAGCAATCCTAGCATCACCATGACCAGAGATGTTATCATTCGGTGTTTGATGGTGTACGTTGGGGAATCTACAGATCAACTCTTAAAAGAGTATGATGTAAGTAGAAGTGCATGTTAGTATCCCACTCTTCTTTCTCCCATGTCTTGGGAAGGTCAAATCACAAAATGCAGTATTAACTATTTCTCCCAGTAAATGTAATTATTGGCAAGCTACACAGTTGTATAGTTTTGTGGAGTCATGTAAGTATCATTGTCCTCTGTAAGTATGTGAAGTTTTTTTTTTCATTAAGGAATTGAAATACTATGGCAAAAATATGTGTTACTAAATGTTCACCATCTCAATCTCATTTCACCAACTGGCAGAATTTAAATGATATGAAAATATGCTTTTACAAGTGCTGTACATTATCTCAGATTTATCAAAAACACTGATGTGAATGGGGTGCAATACGTGCAATAGCTATGAGAGCCCCAGGTTTTATTGTCCAAAGGGTTGGAAGCCATTTGGGAGATGTTACATTTTGACCTTCTCCTTCGGCTGTACAGTCTGAACTACACATTGTTCTTGCTATTTCAGGATGCTGATGAAGACAGTGTGTCGCAGGACCTTGCTGTACAAAGGATGAAAATCTACAACATCAAGACTAATACTTCAGAAGGTCCCGACGACATCGGTATCGTGGTAGAGGGCATGAAAGTTCTGACAGCTCTGGGTAACTTTCCAAGGGCTTGCTTCATGCTCGTTGGGTTGGCTTATGCATTGAATCTTGCCTATCCCAAGGAGCTCAGGTACACATTGGAAGTCTTCCAGAAACTCCTCCTCGAGTTGGATTGTTCAAAGCTATCCCCAAAAGTGAACAGCCTCAAGAATAAGCTACTAGCTTAAGAAAAGAGACCCTTGCAAAATGAAGGGAATTGTTTAGTCACTGTTGTAACTGTTCAGGTCCCTTTTTTATGGGCCTATTCAACCAAAGAAGCGAGAGGTCAGTGCAGTGGTAGACAGCGCTTAAAAGCTTGTTATGCAGAGGTAGCTTGTAGGGTCTAATAACTGAGTCTGACTGTCAAAGTTCTGCGTTATAGGCCTATACATCTGATAGGCTTTCAGAGAATGTACTGATTTGTTATTGAAAGCTATCTTTATTTTTGTTTAATGTTTCATGGGTGTTCTACCATTGTGCTTTCTTCTGATGTGACGCTGACCTAGGCCATTGCAAGTGTTTGTTCGAAAGGAATAGATGTAAGATGCATAGAACATCTGTAGGCTGTGCTCGTTCACTTGTTAGGAAGCCATGCTTGTAATTGTGCATGTTAAAAAAGATAGGTCCACCCGGATTGTGGATTATGGCTACTAGTATAAGTGTAATGCGGGCGTAAATGGGCGGGGCGGATATGACGATCCAAGAGGGAGGAGTCAGGGTGACGTGGGGGAGAAGTTATAGCGGGGAGACAGGAAGCTATCTGGGGCAGTCGGGGGAGTGAAGGGTGGTGAACACGTTGGGTGGTCGCCGTGCCTCAGCCTGGTGGCTGAGGGGCTCATGACGGCGCCAGCCAGCGGGGTGGAAGAGAGAGTGGAGGATTGAGGTTGGAGATGGCGAGATAGCCACAGAGGCCACGAAGGGCTGAGGTAGGAGATGGCGAGATAGCCACAGAGGCCACGAAGGGCTGACGTTGGGAGGTGGCGAGATTGCCACGCACGGAGGAACAGGGAGCAGCGATGGAGCTGCTGTGAGAGCAGCCAGAGGGCTGCACCAAGAGCCTGCAGCGGAGCTGCAGGAGCGTGGAAGGCTACGGGAGCGAAGGCAGATGTGGGGCTGCCAGGGAGAGAGTCTCAGGAGGAGTGCCGTGTGGGAAGGAGAACGCGAACCCCAAATAAAGGACACGGAGTCAGAGAGAAGCGTCTGAGTCCTTTTATTACACTGGAGTCAGAAGTGAAACGGCATCTCAAAACAACTGAGAGAAAGAAGAAAAAAAAAAGAATATTCCTGCTACATCATCCGACGACGACGACCTTCCTCAGACGGTGGACCTGCCTGCGATGGAAGAGGAGATCCGTTCTGGAACGAGTACGGGTCCGGGTGAGCAAGGTGTCGCCGCGTCGGTGGACCTGTCTGTGCCGGAGGACGCCAACTTACGATGGAGACAGATGGCGATGCAGATGGGGACCTTGAAAATCGTGCTGGCGCAACTGTGTGAGTTCACCACGCCGAGGACGACGTCGGGGAGGCCCGGTGGTGATCCGCAGGCCTCTGCCTTTCCTGCGCTGCCAGCGCCATTGCCACGTGGCACGAAGACGCCATCTTGGGCGTGGCAGGGGAGAAACGGCGGGAAGCCGCCATCTTGTCTTCACCGCGGCGGGAGGACGCCGCCATCTTCAACATCGCGGCGGAGAGGCAGCCTTGCGCTGCCATCTGGAGGTGCCGCGGGGTGAGCAGCCTGCTGTGAGCTGCTGTTTTTCGAGGGGGTGCTGCGAGGAGAAGACGCCGATGCTGCAGCTGCTGGGGCGGGAGCTTCCCGTCCTGGCTCGGGTGCGTGACAACGGAGCCGTCAAGTCGCCGAACGAGTTCTGCGAGGCGTCTCAAGTTGCCACCCTGCCGTCCTCTTCTTGCTGCAGCCCCGGGCGAGTCATAACGATACGCACCCGGCCTTAACACACACCTCACCCATCTTTCGAGGGCCGGGGGGCTATTTTGGTTTTCTCTTATGACTCGATTGTGCGGAGCGCGGTTCGGACTGTGTGTATGTGTGTGTAATAACGATGAACGCGCTATCTGCTTGTTGCTTGGTGTCAATATAAGTGTGTGCGTGTGTTGAGAATGGACGGAGAGTCTGCTGTATTTGCTGAGTGTCAAATTGTGTGTGTGCGCTGCTGCGTGGAGTTGTTATCTTGATGGTGAAGTTAATTATTAACTTGGGAGCGTCGGGTATCTTGCGCTGTATTATTTGTGGGTTACCTTGTGCGATGGGCTTAAATGAAAAAAAAAAATTTTTTTTTTTTGGTGTACTGTGCTGCGAGGTGCTGTGTGCGATGCGATTGTTGCAAGAGAGAGAATAATTGTGTTGTTGCTGCAAAGTTACGACAGGATTAATGGTGTGTTGGTTGCCTGCAGATCTGCTTGCTATTGTGCTTAAATGTACGCGTGTGATCGCGATATGCTGATTGCATGTGCTGTTATACCGTTCTGTATGGTTATGGGGTGCGATGCAGTGGTTGACTATTGGAATTGAGATTGTTATTATATTGTGCGTACTTGTTGGAAATTGGTAACAAATTCGAGGGGGACCCAAATATTTGGTTGTATGGGTGTTGTGCACACGAGATTGCGCGTATATTATAGAGGGGGACCCAAAAATTTGGTTGTATGGGTGTTGTGCACACGACATTGCGTGTATATTATAGGGGTAATTGAGCTTTTTGAAAATGAGGGTGCGCGATGACGCCGTTGTGGGTGGCTTAGATGTTAATGCTAATGGGATCGTAAATGGGCGCCAAGTGGCGTCGTGTATTGGTTGATTGCATGCAGCCACGAGTTGCTTTGCGAGTTGGGTTGAGTAACCAATGTGGTTGGTAAAATATTGGTTAAAAATTCCACGATATGACAGCTGTGCGCAGCAAGCTGGGGCTGTGCGTCTATCGTTGGTGGGGTTGTTATAACGTGACGGGGGATGCGTCTTGTGACCCCCAGCTAAGGGAAGCTGGGGTGCACGAATGGAGAAAACTGGCCACGTGTTCGCACGTTGGGCCGCCATTTTGCGCGCACGCGGGGTATGGCGACGATGCGCTTTGCGGAAAGGGCCGCCATTTTGAGTGCGCGCGAGAGATTGCGCGAACGCGCTGGGCGAAGGGGGACGCCATTTTGAGCGCGCGGGAAAAACCGGGGTGGGGCAAATATTCCATCTGTTATGCCTGCCATTGTTGATTGGGTGATGCACGAGTTGTGGTCACATCGGCCTATGGCTGATGGCTGACCTGACAGCCCGGAGGCGAAACCTCCGTGGTATGTCTTAAACTAATGGGCCATGTGCTCATATGGCTCGGGGAGTCATGGTTCAGTTGTGCGGTGGCAGACTGAACCTGGTGTGCCGGGGGCTCACGGGATCTGGGTTAGGGTGTTATTGTCTCTATAAGAGAACATTGCCCCGTGGGGGGAGTACATGGGGTCTGGCATTGCTGGGGGATGAACCTTCCCTGGGCTATAAAGCATCGGACTATACGAGGCTGGTGTGTGTCCATCTCTGATGGGATAGTAAGGGAGGAGCATGGCCGAGTTGCTGCTCATCCCCGAAATTGCACTAGCTGAGAGTATGGTCAGTGGATGTTGCTGTGGGTTGACGACCACGGTGGGGGTTAGGGCGAGTTAAACGTTACCGTTGGGGAGCGTGGCTCTCTCCACGCGAGGGTGTGTGATTAGGTGTTTTGTTGGGTTGCTGAGAGTGACCGTGGGTACATGCTGTGTACGTGCGATGTCTGTGCTGGTCCTTAAGGGAGGACTGCTGGTGGGCAAGAGCAGGAAATTTTGTTGTTGTTACGTGTAAATAATATTGTTGTTAAAATGTAAATGCTGGGGCATCCATTGCGTTATTTTGGGTATTTATGGGGAGTTTTTTTTTAAGCGGGCCGGATTTACATCATCTCCACTACCCTGGGGCCGGGTGGCTGTCGTGTACGACATGTGGATGTGCGTTGTTGTGCTGTGCCTCAGGGGATTGGATTCTCCTTCTCGTCACAGATCTTCAGTGCCTGCCACACTGGGTGTTACCTGGTGTGCTAACTGGATGAGGACTTGAAGGAGTGATTGAGCGCCCGTTCGTCATTCCTGCTCTACCACTTTCTCTTTGACGTTGGACTTGAGCCGAGCGGATGGAACTGCAACATGGACACGCACTAAAACATCACATTTCTGGGTTGTGCGCGTTGGCCGTTCTTGCGTGTCAGTTGCCGTTGTTGTTCATTGTGCCATTCTTATTCTTGTTGTTGTTGCGCGGAGGACAGGCCGGTGTTCTGTTCCAGTTCCTGATACCTCCCCTTTCGTTGCTTGTGTTGTTGTTGTTATAATCTCCGTTGTGTCTGGGGGACTCCTGATTGTGATGCCTTCGCCCGCATTATTTTGTTCTGTTTCAGCCGAGGACGGCTGGAATTTTCTCTACGGGGGAGGGTAGTGTAATGCGGGCGTAAATGGGCGGGGCGGATATGACGATCCAAGAGGGAGGAGTCAGGGTGACGTGGGGGAGAAGTTATAGCGGGGAGACAGGAAGCTATCTGGGGCAGTCGGGGGAGTGAAGGGTGGTGAACACGTTGGGTGGTCGCCGTGCCTCAGCCTGGTGGCTGAGGGGCTCATGACGGCGCCAGCCAGCGGGGTGGAAGAGAGAGTGGAGGATTGAGGTTGGAGATGGCGAGATAGCCACAGAGGCCACGAAGGGCTGAGGTAGGAGATGGCGAGATAGCCACAGAGGCCACGAAGGGCTGACGTTGGGAGGTGGCGAGATTGCCACGCACGGAGGAACAGGGAGCAGCGATGGAGCTGCTGTGAGAGCAGCCAGAGGGCTGCACCAAGAGCCTGCAGCGGAGCTGCAGGAGCGTGGAAGGCTACGGGAGCGAAGGCAGATGTGGGGCTGCCAGGGAGAGAGTCTCAGGAGGAGTGCCGTGTGGGAAGGAGAACGCGAACCCCAAATAAAGGACACGGAGTCAGAGAGAAGCGTCTGAGTCCTTTTATTACATAAGTACAGGCAATGCAAGTAAATTCACGTGATGTTTGAATCTCTTTTCGCTGTTTGAAAAACATATTGGCCCTTAGGATTTCAATTTGCGCATATAAAAAAGAAATAATATCAAAGTATTTTTACAGATTTTTTAAAAACATTGTCGTAATTTAAATGCGCTAACAAGACGAAACCTTGAATCACATCCAAAAAAGGAATCTGTGCCTGTAATGCCCACAAATGATAAATACTTCCAGTGTTGTATCCCTATTGTACACATACATGATTTCTGTCTTTGTTTTGTACTTGTAATATGTTGGATAAACATGTTGAGACAAAATTGCACCAATAAATGTTAACCTGCTGTTCCTTTTCATGGTTCTTATCTTTTTCAT